ACCAACTAACTTAAGTATTTTAAAATTTGAGAATGAATCACTTAACCTCGAAGGTTCGATTCTTGTTGCCCCATTGAAATAGATAAAGTTGACATCTTATTAATAAAAACAAATTAAACCCTTAAATTATTAAATCTTAAATTCGAATCACATTATTGTATGACTAATTTTCACCTCTCCAATTTGCTATTTTTCAACACTATATACTTCTACATTGAAATCTTACTTACAATAATTATAATTGTTTCTTTTTACCAAATGAGGTATGAGAAAAGATATTTATCTACTCTTTCCATGCAATTTGCTATTAAAAAGATTTTCTTATAAGAAAATATGGGGGGTTAATCAACTGTGAAATCTAAATATATATAAAATTATAAATTTTACATTGCAATAGCAAGAATGAAAATCAACTTCTTGAACTTTGGCAAAACATAAAGGTAAATTAAAGCAAGCAATTTGAAGTTAATGATCATAGTGAGCACAACATGGACCAAGGAAAAGTTCAATTATTTGTTCTATATTTTTTTGACATGTTTCAAGCAACATTTGCAAATACAAGTTACAAAGCATAAATTGCATCTGAACAATATTCATATCTCAGGTCAAATGAAATTGCTGGGGGGAGGTGGACTCCATATATAGTAAAGCTTGCAATGCAGAAAAGTTAGAAAAAAAAAAAAAAAACACTAATCAAATGGCAGAAGCTTACTTGAGTTGGGATAAGGGCCTATCTTCTGTCAGATATCAACTAGCTATAATGAAACAAACAAAAAAGAATTCTTCTAAAAGTCGAAAATCTATTGTTCTACATGAACAGCCAGTAAGGAGACTAACTATCAAGAATCCACGGCATGGGCCAAATAGTAGCATCAATTTTCTGAAAACCGGCTTCAAATCTATATTGGATCAATAACAGTCTCAATTCCTGCCATGCATCCTTGATACAGCAACCAGCAAATAACAATTTCTTGATATTGTATATAAAGGGCTATCGTTTAATGGATTGATGAAGTGGCAATATTATTGTTCAAACCCATCTTATGCCCCAGTGATGCAAGCTGCTTAACAAACTCGGATCCGGTTAAAATTTCTGTTGTACCATATATAACATGCTTGACTGGCTGCTGATGCTGTACAAGCTCTTGCAAGCTACCATACTCCATATAATTACCACCACCAATCATGAAAACAATAGCTTCTTTAAATGGTCCTTTTAGATGACTGCTACTAGTTCCAGAGCTTGACTTAGGGGCACGAGGATCAAATACAAGATAAGAATCAATTTCAGGGTTTGGCTTCCCCTCCATCAAAGCTTCCACTGTCCTTGTCAATGCCAGCTGTCTATCACTAGCCAAGAGGTTCTTAACACCTGCAGTGACCGCACTGATTGACTGCCCATAGAGTTTCTCAGCCCAATCAACAATGTTACTTCTACTTGCAGAATTTGCTGATGCCAATGAAACATTCAGTGACTTGATCTTCTTCACATACTGAAATGCACTAGTATCTACCTCAGACTCTCTAAGAGCTGCTTCCACTGCCTCTACTTCAGATGGATTAATGTTTTCTGAAGAAATAAGGTATATTATCGCAAACCGCAACTTATCCATCTTGTTACCTTTTCCTTTAAGTACACCCAATAATTCATTCCGATCTATACCTCCCCTGATCAACATGTCATTCTCTTTCTTTGCATAGGAATCAAGAGATCTCTCCTTGATCTCACCCAACAACACAGTTGCTATGTTTGTGTGCTTATCAATTACGTGCTTCCGCTCTGTCAACTCAGGCAGGGAGTTAACCGCATTCATCAGGTGCTTTGTGTTCCCAATTAAATCCGTCCCATCAAACTCTGCTCCACCAGTACCACCGGTCCTTCTATTAACCTCATCGACATCCTTCTTGTACTTATTCAGTTGAGTTTCGATCTCCACAGCAACTTCAGGAAATTCCAATGATCCATTTGTTGCCCAAAATAGGTCTGAGCTATCCAGTTCATATGACTTCATCCCACCTTTCTCCCCTTGCACGCTCAACCTATTAAGCTTTAAGCCAAGAACATCATGCACAAGAGGGCGGTATCTAAAATCATGTTGTATACCCACAGATAACTCAAAATTCCGATCAAAGATACACAAAATTGGACGTTGAAATGAGCCAACAAAATTTCCACCTTCAGAAAATAAATTGTTCTTTGACAACAAATGATCCCTTAGCTTCTGATCCAATGCTGAAGCGACCATCTCAGCAGGCCCACCATGTGGGCACCTTATAATTGGCACCACTGCAAGCGTAGCCAAAACACAAAATAATCCACTGACTATCCTTTCAATAATCTCCTCAATCTCTCTATCCCCAGCTGATGGATCATTCAGTTGCTCATAACAAAACTCCTGTGCCAACGAGAACAAATTATCCTCTAATGTAACAAACTCCAAGTACTGATCATGGACCTTTGAAATCTTATCAATTGAATCTAAATTCAAGGTCCCAGATGCAAGATCTTCTAAAAGCGGCCTAGGAATGGATGAAGAAAAGTTCAGGTGGAAGCTATCATAAAGTGACCGTGAAGCATCAGCTATCACTCTCTGGATATTGGATTGAGTAGGCTGAATAAAATACACTGCTGGGACATCATGAACAGGCTTCCGGTCCTTGTCAATTAGAAAGTAAAGCGTAACACCATGTTTGCGCAAATCCTTAACATGGATCAATGGGGACAAAATATTTTGGCAAAACTTATCATAAATCAGAATCTTGTAAACCTCTTCATTGGCAGTCCCAGTTGAGTTCACAGGTTGATTCAGATTCAACATTCGTATTACACATTCTGTGCATAAAAGGTAGGACCAAATAATAACTCAATTAAACACAGCACCTGATAAGATTTAGAGGTAAAAATTATAGATCACAAAATCAGACAAGTAAGAGTTTATTGATTCAAATCTACAACCAAGAAGAAAGATCAAGTGTAATTAGCATACATGAAAATTGAAATCAAAGAAACAACAAGGGTTCGTACTTGATTTTACGAATTCCACTTCACAGAGCATAGATCAGATGTTACACACAATCAAATTAAACGGGAAATGGCTTATTTCCACCGGCATCTTGGAAATCGAGAATATGGGTCCTTTTCCATTCTCCTTTTTGGGATTAACAAAAGATTTCACTTCCAAAATTCGAAAATTGTAATAGTTTTTTGCTCGATTCAATGTGTTTCAATTCAATAAATTGAAGGAGAGATCTGGACAAGGGTTACCTGTTTGTTTCTGGCGGAGATTGAGCGCCATAACCAACTGCAGAAGCGAGTTCCAAATAGTAAAGCTTTTCCCTCCGTGGATTCGTTCAATTGAAGGTTTCTGTTGGACTGAAGTTCAAATAGGAAGGGGGCAATTAAATATGCGAAGGCCTTTGTAACGCTGGATTAGTGGATTCTCATTGGAGAGAGATCGTAAGCAACGAATTAACAGATGATTTTGCAGGGGAGAATCTACGTGTCTTTGAATTAAGGCGTGTTTGGCTGTCAACGAAAAAAGAAAAGTGCTTCGCAAATACCATTTGATAAAATATAACTACCAACAGAGAAAATAAATATTGGACTTAAACAGTCAATTATTTAAAAAATTTAATAATAATTTTTTTTGGTTAAAAATAAAAAGTTTTGAATTTGAATTGTATGATATGCGGTAAAGTAAGTTAAAGAATAAGAGAAAGTTGTTTTATGTTGTGCAACTAATATCAAAAAAAATATTTGATTTAAAAAAGAGAAAATAAAAGGTAGAAAAATCTATAAAATGTTAAAAAAATGGAGTAAATTGCTTTTCACTTATGGTCTATTTATTTAGACAAAACTATGTTAAAAAGGTTTTTTTTTTTTAGAACTCAACTTATTGTACCCCTTTTAATAAAGATAAAATATGAATAAATGTATTAAATGTTATTTTTTAAAAAAAATAAATAATTATATTTAAATATCTTAAATTAAAAATTAATTATACTAAAATTAGATGAAAGTAATATTATTTTGTTTTTGAATAAGATATATAATATATTTAAGTTGAGTTTAAAATCAAAATTAACTACATTTGCAACTATAGTTACAATAGTAAAGGTACACCAATTCATGACCATGATCATGGTTCAACTCTTCATAAATTCATTCCATTTTCACAATTTTGTACTGTTAAAAAAAATCAAAATTAAATAATTTGGTTAACAAGTCAAGTTTAAATTTCATCACTTTAACTTAATAGCATCCATCCACCATTTACTCATTTTTTTCCTTTTCCTTTACCTCCTCCTCATAGAAGTGAAAAATACTTGCATCTTTAAGGAGAGATTTATAAATTTTGGCAATATATATATAAAGAATTTCATTATCATAATTTTCATAAAAATATGAAAATGGAATCTAAAAAGAATTTCTATTTATGCAAACGCAACCTTAGATACAGCTCTATTGAAGAATACGCAGGGCACGGATGACTCAAATACAGTGACGAAGGAACAGGAAGAACCAGTGAGCAGCCATGACAACGTCTTCGTTTTCGCGCAACAAATACTGGGTTTTGAGACACGGAAAGAGCATTCCAAACGAAAGGGGCCGTATAGTTTCCTCCATGGTTAGTAACTACATTATCAATAAATAATCATCACTCTTCTCTCTCAAAAAAAAACTTTTTTTTGGGTGTTTTATCATTCATGTGGGTAGCAAATAATGTTAAAGTTTGGATTTGAATTCAATGAATTTTGGTTTCTAATTGAAAGAAATTAAGATTTTGAAATCAAGTTAGCATTTTTATTTGTATTTTAGTTTAATTCAGCTGAAAGCTGTTTAAATGGTTAAAATCCCAACAGGAAAATGGCATGCTTTCTGAGTACCAGTTAGCACCTGAAGGGGTCAATCAGGCAGAGTTGGCTGGAAAATCATTCCTAAAGGTAACTGATTGTCATGCAAAATTTCAGAATCTTGGGCCACTATTTAACCTAGTCACTCTATTTGCATGCTGTTTTTCTCCCCCATTTGGGGGTAAAACATAAAGCTGTTTTAGTTCTGAATTCTGATGGGTTGCTTGCCGTGTGCAGGAATTGAAGGAAAATAACATTCCACTTGAAAATGTCCGGATTTGTTACTCTCCATTTGCAAGAACAAGTCACACAGCGAAAGTCGTTGCATCTGCTTTGAACATTCCATTTGATGGTCCTCAATGCAGGGTATTTTTCTTGGATTATTTGGTAGTATGAACCAAAATAGATGAATTATTAAACCCTGGCCTATTACTGTTAGGTTTACTATTTGATTATGCTAACTTCTGATTTTGAAAAATATGCTATCATTGTAGTTATTGCCAATTGCATGTCTTCTTTTCCTAAGCAGATGTCTTGCATATCATGTACTGCTACTTTGATCACAAAATAATGATCTAACAGACACCATGACCTCTTGCCAGAAAAGAAAAGAGAAAGCATTCCAATTCATTTGAAATTTAACAATTTTTTAATGTTGTCATGGCCTTCTTTATCTTATTTTGGTATCTGGAATCAATCTAGCCTATCAAAGGTTTGTTCTATATTTCCGCTAACACTTTGCTATCATTTTTCTCTAACACCGATTTAAGAGTTGATGACTTGCTGGACAGGTGATAGAAGATCTTCGGGAACGTTATTTTGGTCCTTCATATGAACTTATGTCACATGATAGAGTAAGTGACAAATGAAGAGGCCCCACTCTAAACTCTGTCCAGCAAAAATGTTGCATGTGAAGGGTCTTTCATTCTAGTAAATAGCCACTTAAATTCATAATACGCAAAGTACTATAAGGTTGATACATGTGTAAAACAAAGTTCTAGTATCTACTCAAATAAATAAATAAATTAATAAGAAGTTAGTTCTAGTTTTGCTTATTCTTCTCTTGGTGCTGTTGCCATTCACATCTAATGCTTTCCAAAATTTCTTGTTACATTAATAACCAGTATACGGAAATATGGGCTCTGGATGAAAAGGATCCTTTCCTGCGGCCAGAAGGTGGAGAAAGTGTTGATGATGTTGTTGCTAGGCTTGCAAGTGCTGTGGCCACTATGGAGTCAGAATACCAAGGGTAGAATATACACCTTTTTTCTTCCAGGTCTTAATGTTGTCGATGACTGCAATGGCTAAGTGCTCAAATTTAATTCTAAGTAATGAAGATATATTTCAGCTTTATTACTGCTTTAGCAATTAAGCCAATGTGTTCTTGCTTTCTGAAATGACAGATGTGCAATACTGGTTGTCAGCCATGGTGATCCCCTACAAATCTTGCAGACAGTATTCACTTCAATTTCACAACAGGAGGAATCCAATTCCAAGGATTTAGCATCAAGAATTCAAGCAGTCAGAATCCCTTCCATCCTGTCACAACATAGGAAGTACGGATTGCTTACAGGAGAACTTCGGTCAGTTATATAACAAAGCCTTTTGAGACAGTCAGTATTGATTCAAGTGTCAGCTACTTAAGTTATTTTCACAGCCAAAGCTGAAAATTTTGCCAGCTTTTTATGGTTTGATGATTTAACTGATTTTGACATGACGAAGATCCAGTCATGTTCGATTATAAATTATGCTTTTAGAAACTAGGGAAAATTATATCAAAACAGCAATGTTCTTTAAGCATACAATGCCTAGGCACATTGTCTGGAATTCTGAGAAAAATGATCTTTTTGGCTTGACCAATGTACTCATTTTTTCCCTTTCTCTATATGTTAACAGGGGCTTTGTCTTCTCTTTTGCGTTATTTTTTGGGGGGTTTTTTGAAACGAAAGGGATTGCCATTCTCTCATGAAACTTATTTCAATCTCTCTGCCTGGCATCTGCTTTTCTCTCGTTTTTCTTCACAAAAACAGAGAACCTGTTTCTCTGTTTCTTCCATCTTAAAAATGAAGCCCATGGTTCTCTGTTCTCTGTTTCTGTTTGAAAATTGCTCTTCTAGAGTTTAGAAACTAGCATCAGATTATTATAGTTGTAGTTGAAATAAACAAAGAGCAGCTTGCAAGAAAGCATGAGATGCAGCATTTTATGAACAACGCGCAAATAGTCAAGGAATCGATACAAAGATCTGTTCAAAATCTTCAGAACGTTAGAATAATGGTCCAGATTGAAATGGGAAGAGAACATGGACATCTGAAACATGAGATAAAGATGCCCAATTATGCATCCTGATTCTTCATTCATTCATTCTTGATAACAACTAAACCGCATTCCAAACTCTATACGGCATGGAAACAAGGTATTCATGAAGTAAACCAGAAAACATTCATTGGATCCCCAGCTAAAACAACCACAGCTGCAAATTTGATTAAAGCATAACTTTCAGCCTCCTCGTGAAGCAACTATTGGGTATTGCAGATAAAGAGCGAGCTGGTTACCATCAGGCCAAATCTTTTTCTTTAAATCTTCACACTACCTATCCAGGTTACTATTTTATGACCCACCTATTGCCCCTGATTTGATACGCACCAGAACTTTGATCACTGCTGCGTTCTCCCCCACTTTCTCCACTTGTGTTATATCCTGGTTTCCAGCGGTTCTTCTTCCCCATTGCAACCCCACTATCACTAAAGCTCCCATTCAAGAGGGGATCATCTATACCACGAATCACCCTCCGATCAGGAAATGATGATGCAATGCAGCTATCATCCTTTGTTTTTCTCTTATCCTTTTTAATGCTTTGGGAGATCTTATTTAGTTTCTGATTGAACTTTGTAATCCCCTTCTCCACAGGCTCAACTGCTTGGTTTACCGTGAACTTAACATCATTCACAATCTGCATTCATGCAAACAGCACATTCATCACAGAAAAAATTTCAAATATATATTGAGGAAATAGACCTTGGTACTCAAAAGATTCACTCAGAAGACATGCAATCTAGAGAACAAGCCATGTGAAGTAAAAGAGCATCTTCCTTTTCTTTTTTTTTTTTTTTGGCCATCAGCATACTAACCATATTGCATTATCTTCCCACACTCTCCACAGGCAATTTGCCCAAAATCCCAGTTCCTTATTAATAAAATCATCAGTTAATAAATTCCCCAAGGAAAGTCCTCTCAATTAATACATTATTTTGTTTGAGAAGGAAATCTACATATGCAAACATAATGGGTCTGGTAATGTCATCTAATTCAAAATTAGGCCATTAGTTAAGATGGATAAAACTTACATATTCACCACCACCAACAAAAACGTCCCGCACTCTTTCTCTGATGGTCATTCCACTTCTAACATCTTCATCAGGCTGAGGCAAGCGCAACTTTGTTGGTCGTTCACTGTCCCTAACCTCATCAGGATCTGGAGGACAATCAACAGATGCATAGTCTCCAAGGACCGAAACAGTTCCATGAAAGCAATTTCCCATTAGCTCGTAAGGTTTCACAGGGAATACATACAGGTGAACAACAGAAGCAATACCCATCTGTGCTGGAGGAATACAAATACCTGAATGAGAACTGTAGCATTTATTTTTGGATATAGATCAACAACAATTGCAAGGTCCTAATTTACATGCACACAGGAGATTCTGTTTACATCTGGCAAATGTGCATAATTTAATGAACCAAGCAACTCTAACTGTAGGCAGTGAAGTGCATATATGAGCAAAAGGCATCAGATGAAAGGTAACGAAATTCACACTACTACATCTTCTACGTGGCTGGAGAATGAAGAGAATCTTTCATTAAAGCAAAATGAAATCAACCGAATCAATGACTTCAATTATTAAGTAATTTTGATAAATATCAACTTAAATGTTTATCAGTACCATGCATCCACAGATCCATGTCTAGTTTGACAATTCCTAACCTCCAATTGTCCACTTGATTTACAGAGTACCAATACTTCCAAGAACTCGTCATTCATTCAGAAGTGAAAAGAATAATTGTTACTATTCATGTCAAAAAGAAGGCCACAAAGCAACCTTGGCAGTCAATAATGAGAGATACATTATAGCTGCAACTGTTTTGTTAATAAGATTACCAGCTAGAAGAAATGTATCTGTAAGTGGTAACCAAAGCATCTACCTCTATACAAATGATGAAGTCTTGGACGCTTGACTTGAACTGTAAGCCTTCAGCTATTGGACTTCTAAATAAACCAAGGGCATAAAATATAGCAATTGCCACACCTTGCCACCAAGTCAAAAACACAATCGACTTAAATGTCAAAAACTTGGCCAATGGTCTTATGTGTGCCAATTCATCCTTTGTAACAGTATAAAATTGAACTAAACAGTATAAAGCCCATGACTGACTGAAATTGAGAACCACCGCCATATAAGGATACCTACAGAATCAGTAAAAGGCTGAGACAATCAGATTTTTGTCTTTCTTATGACTAACCATCGTAAGTAATGTTACAGTAATGAATGTTCATCAGAATAAAATTTTGAACAAGGCATTGCTTTTAGAGTACAAGAAAAACAAGACCAAGAATGTAGAATTACTAGTATGAGGCAGCTACAATATGCTTTGCAAAAATGGTTGGGATCATCTTACCCACAATTCCATTCGAATTCTCCTTCACAATAGACACCAAAAGCTTCAAGAATCAATGCTAAAAGAGCAGTCAACAACTTGATTATCATCTGCCAATAAAGCATATAATTAAGAAAAAAAAATAAAGAAAAGAAATAAAAGGAGTTCTGCTAAAAGTAAGAAAAAGAATTCGGAAGACTAGAGAATATTATAAGCAAAATAATACTTCATTTAGCAAGCTAAAGGACACATACATATTGAACGATGCCAATTTTTATAACTTGGTAAAACCATTGGCCAAGTTTCCATGGTTTTAGGACATAATTCATAGGAAAAGGATGCTTCACTGTTCCAGGTTCAGAATCAGATCCTAACAGTGGGGTTTTTGCACGTCCTTGTCTTTCCATGAACTCGATAGTCCTCTCTTCCCCACCTAAAGGGACAAAAAGAAGATGGAAAGGAATAACAATGGCAATATCAGTCACGTACCTAAAAAAGCCAACAATGGGCAGGGAGAAAATTCTTTAAAAGAAAAATGTAAAGAAACATCTCTAGCAAATGGCATCGGATATTAAAACACAAACATAACTGACGTTTTAACATTCAAGAAACCAGGGGGCCTTAGTAGCTCCAATAACTAGGATATTGTCAATAACATAGTTGCAAAGAAATTTCTCCCTTTATTTTATGGGTGCATATTCTGAATTTTCCTACAAACTAGCATGCACAAATCAGTATATCAACACTCTTAGAACTTATTTACTAACTCATCAATCATTAAAATATGAAAATATTTTATATTAATTTTACACAAGTACAAGAGTGGGACCATATTTTTTTTTAACCCCAAATGACCATGACTAGCAATCAGCAATTTCCTCAGAATGGTAAGAGTTTAGGCTACTCTTGAATTGCAATGGAATTACATGCAAGATTACTCTAAAGAATTTTAGCCATTCATTAATGCTATTAAAGAGAACATACCTAAGCATGCAACAAGGTATCTTCCAAAGCAATACATGGCAAATGATTCATAGCAATCCCTTAGTATCTCACAATCAACACTAATGGATGGATTCGCCAGGGATACAAACTGTTAAAAATAATACCAGTTAGCACAACAAAAATGACATACTAATTTTCCTCAAACAAATTAAACATTCAAGAAAGATGCTGCACTTTACAAAATCTCTACCACATATATATCACACTTCAATATATTCAAATTCAACAACTGAAAATCTCAGTCCAGAGCCAACATTGAAGCAACTTACCGATTCTACAGCATAGCAAGGAACCATAAGGATAACCCCCATCAAAAACTTTTGCTCCTGCAATGCATAAAAACACGCAGTAAAAACAAAGCTAGAGCAGCAAAAGGAAAATCTAGCCCAAGAATGAGGATGCAGAAAAAAAAAAAAAACCTCAGGATTTTTGTATGCATTGAGGTGCTCCAAGAGAAGATACATCGAAAGTGAAAGGGTGATGACTAAAAGGACACCAGCTATCAAAGTCGCCCATATAGGAGCAGAGTAAGACGAGAGATAATCAGTTATCTTCATTCGCCACTATACTCCGTTACCTGCAATTTTCCGTTCTTCAAATCCACTTATAGACACCATAATTCACTCGGGACATCCAGAAATCAAGGCATTTCCCTGCGAAATCAAAAGCCAGAGAATGATGATTCCGAATTCCGATGATCCAGACGGGCCAAAAAAAAAATTCCGATGATTCAGACGGAGAGCCGAATCGAGAAGAAATGAAATTGAGGAAAGCGATTAGGAAATTACAATTAGGTTAGATAGAATCTGTTTTCGTTTCCGAAGAGATTAGAAACCCTAGAAAGCCTGACTCATATCGGAACAAGATGTTCAGAAGTAAAAATCCTGCCGCCGTGCACCCGTCCGGCGCGTTGGTCGGTTTTTATCGTTCGGTTCTGCATGTTGATTACGTCTAAAAATCAGTAGCCCCTTGAGTTCTTTTAAATTTCAATTTTGGCACCATTAGTTTGTCGTTATTTAGTTTTAGATCCAACTTTGTTTTTATCACTTTTCACTACATCGCAAGAAAAAAAAATTGTAAATATCAAAACTCTGAAATTATTTTAGTATCCTTTATAAATTTTTTGTGTCTGTAACTCATTAAAGATATTTAAAATTTTTTATTTTTAATTTTGATATTTAAATTATTAAAACATTCTAATTTTTTTCGTAATAACTTATTTCAAATAAAAGTAAAATTTTTTAGATTCAATATGTATGATACAATTTTTAAAAAATAAAAAATAAAAAGAGCACTTTTCACTCAATGTTGACTAACCGACTAGCTTTGATCTTGTAAAAGGCTCCAAGTTTTCCCATGGAAAAGAATGTAATACTCTTCACAAGTTCAAACTAAAATATAGTTTACACCAAAATCAAGGGGCGTTCTCCAGTAATTTATCCACAAATAAAAAAACATGGACAAGTAACCTCAGGCAGCACTTAAAAGTCTCAATCAAATTCCAAACATCAAATTAAAATATGGAACAAGTTCGTTCAATATACACGAAATTTTCTACACAACAGACATTTCCTGATTAGGAAGAATAGATGAAATATACAGTCAAGTTGGAAGTAATTAAAAGTACATGGATTGACACCTCTAAGAAAAATCAGGTATGGGAATGCAATGGGGGTATTGATCAAGTATCACAGCAGTCCTTGTGGATCTAGAGGTATCTTATGGAATCCAATAACCATGTTTGCTCCCACATAGTTTGATATCATATTCTGCAATTGGCAGCTGGATGAAAAAAAGAAATGGTATTAATGTGGCATCAACATAAAAGAATAACAATAATAATATTAGCAAGGCAGGTTTAAGTTCTCTCCAATGGTGGTGGGCAATGTCAAACCAATAAGTAAAGCAAATAAATTATTGACAAAAAAAGAGGCTGCTGAGAGGACTAAGGTAACACTATCAGCATCTAAGAAAAGAAGGAATGCACTAGTTAATGGTTATCCCGAATTATAATAATACTCACTGCAGTAGACAAACTGGTTCAGATCAAGAGTAATCCTGCCTTGCTTAGCTGTATCAAATGAATTAAATAGATTCCTGAACAATAAAAACAACAAACAAATGAAAGAGATTTAGGTTAACCACCATATATGGAAAAAATTTACGTTAGATAAGAAACAAACATTGAGTAAAAATATTATGTCTAGCTCCTTCAATGGGAAAGCAAGTTTAAGCATATGATTTTTGCGTGTTATGAGTATATTCATTTTTGCATCATGGGTCTAGATTTAACTTTAGAAATACTATATCTATATATTAAAAACATTGATTGACGGTTTGAAATTGAAAACATATGGTTGCTCCTGTAAACTTCTATAAAAATACAATTGCCCATACTAGATTAATTATAGACAATGCAATATAAAAACAAGCACTGTTGCAGATTCAAGGAGTTGCATACCTAGCTGACTGAAGAAATATACATAAAGATATGAAGTCATCCAGCCTAAATCTACCATTCTTGTTCTGATCAAAGCTCTGTCAAAATGAAAAAAATCAGCATCATCCAGACACAGGAGAAGAAAAAAGCCCAACAAAAAATTAGGTTATCTCAGAAGAAATGAAGAACAGCAAAAAAAATGGAGAATAGGAGTGCTTTTCCATAATCTAATGCCAAAGCATGACAGAAATCCTCCCAGCCTCTTATCTTGTTGAAGGAATCAAACAACATTAAGTTGCAGCCAAACAAGGGCAACTTGTTGATAAACTGATTGTCTATTTCATCCTAATAACATTAGTTCAACAACTCCA